ATTTCCCCAGAACAAACAGATTAACTAAACACTACAGCTGCTTTATTGTCTAATGATTTCAAATCTCCTTTGATCCCTGCAGTAATAACTCGACATGTTTCTGAATGGGGCCGATAAATATTTGTCTGATTACACCGAGACGTTTCCCTTTGAATCCGCTGTGGGATTTGGACTCGGTTTGTTTTGGTCGTATAAATAATAATCATAAAAGTAACGGTGGGAGGAAAAGTCTGAATGCTCTGATGAGGCAGAAGAGTCAGATTCTTGCTTTGCTTGACACGGAGGCGTGATCCGGGAGCCCGGTGGCTCCTGGCGCCGCAGAGGCAGCAGAACCAACACGGGCCTGTTTGAGCCGAGGATTAGACCCGTTCCACTAAATTAGCTGCAGCTTCTTAAACAGGATCTGCAGCAGTTCTTGTTTTGTTCATTATTCTGCTTCGCCTTCATCCACAGCAACACGCGGATTTCAGATGAACCTTCAATTGTTGCATAAAAACCTTCTGTGTTTCCTAAAACATCATTTTTTCCCTCTACGTCAAATTATTTCTGGTTGTCATTGACTCCATTTTACTGATTTACTAAAAAACTAGAATTGAAAAGCCAATTTGGTCCAAATAAAATGCAATTCAGTAATAAAATATCTAGTTACGGGTGGATTTTTCTGACGCTGTGGTTTTATTTTAATAAAAACTTCTCATGCTGCCATGGTGTTTTTTAAATTTGCTCATAATCAATAATTAATGCTGTAGGGAAATTCTTTCCTCTCTGTGTTTCCACAGCCAGAAGGTTGTTATATCACTGACACCTTACTAACTTAGTTTTTATAAAAGTAATACCTGCGCCACAGTGCTAAAACACAGTATTGTACACAAAAACACAAATCCGACCCTGAGCTGCTATGAACATGCCAGACCCATAGGGGGCAGTGCAGCGCAAAGCTAAAACCTGTCAGCCAATCAGAATCCTTCAATACGGCGATGACTTCCTGTTAGGAGTCAAACATGGAGGTTCATTTGTGAGGATAGAGACTGTATTCATTATAGTTTAGTTTGATTTAGTTTTCAGAGTCTGTTTGCTCGTTTTTATTTGTTATTTTTAGTTACTTTAATTTTTATTATCTTTAGTTTTAGTTTTTCCATATTTCGGTTCATTTTTAAGTGCAGAATTCAAAAAGTTCAAAGTATTGTGATTATTTGCACATCAGTTGGGTAATAAATACTGAACAGAAGAAACTATTTTCAGAAAATACTATAACAGTTAAGATTAAAATCTGAACTGCTTCCTTTATTCTCCTATATTTACAACATGAAGCTGCGACTTAATAAATTAGGTGTGTTTTTATTTTCATGTGTGCAGCAGTGACAGAATCATTTTCATGCGTATGTCAGAAAATAAAGAGGATTTATGTTTGTGCTGCTGCCACATGCGCGCCGCTGCGTTTCCATCAGGATGAGGGCCATGCAGGAATCTGATTGGCCGACGCCTGGATGAAGGAGGGGCCGTTTATGGGAAATGTAAATAAACCTGCCGGTGACATTCCTTTCTTTATTTATTTCTTTTTTTTTTGTGGTAATGCGGGCCAGACAGAAATCCACCAACGTGACAGATGAAGAGAATTTGTTTTGTGTTGCAGCGATGAGAAGCAGAGCCTTCGTGTTTTTAAAGAACCAGACGGTTTTTGGCATCTTCATTTTTCCCACTTTGCTAAAAAGAAATGAAATAAACACATGGAGAGCTGCCTTCAGCGACTCCAACTCTCCAGGAGAGTCAGGTTTCATACATAAACTAAACATTTTTACAGAAAAATGGATTTTAATGTCAAACTTATGAGCACATCGTTAATGGAGGACATTTTTCTGCCTATAATGAGTTTCAAATTGGGTTGATAATGGATGAAACCTGGATTATTAGTGAAAATCATTGAATAGAACACTCTGTATTCAAGTAAATGCTCCCATGGCTTTTGCAGGAGATTGAAAAGAGGTTTTTAGCCCCGTTTAGTTCGCTTTACTCCAACTCCAGTCTGTTTGTCTAGACAGTCCGGTTCGCTTGGGGAGGTGTGAACGCTAATCGGACCAATCAACCGAACTCTGGTCCTCCTACAAACCTCAGTCTGCGTTTGGTTGAAGTGAACTCTGGTTTGGTTTGAACGCATGTGTGAACACCAAACGGACTCAAAAAGCAGGAAGTGGACTACAGCGCAGGGCATTCTGGGTAACAAATGTGCTAGCTTAGCGCTAGCGGGAGAAATGGCTGCTATAATCGCTAAAATCAGACACCACCCTGTTTTTGATTACGTTTAGTGAAGGAAGTAGAGCTCAGTGTCTTCCTCTGAGGATTTTATGTTGTTTCCTTCACTGGTTCTTGGTGCAGCGCCCCCACAGGCGAGGAGGGGAACAGGCTTTTCAAAGGGTTGGTTGGTTTGAGGACCACAGCAGTTGAAAACGCAACAAATGTTGCAACTTTGGTCCAAATCTACGACGACATATTAGGACCATTGTAGATATAAAAAAAGGAAGTAAATTTCTGCCCCAAACTCTTTTAGATAAATCTCAGAAATTTTCAAGAAAAAACACAAAAAGTTGAAAATTTGCTGGAAAAAAACTCAGAAATTTCTAGAAAACTTTTTTCCTAGGAATTTCTGAGATTAATCTAAATTTTTTGAGTTTCCTCTTGGGTTTTCTTAATGGCCCTAATGGACCGTTGTAATAAAACTGAGTCTACTGGACTACCAGGAGTGAAACTCACTAACATGGGAACATATTTGAGGAGCTGCTGCCAAATTCATGCAGGCAGGTGGACCAAAACATGAACGTATCGACTCACTTTTACATACCTTAACTTCTTTAATTACAACTTGCCTCCTGTTGACATTTAGTTAGTTTCATTGGTAATTTTAATACAGCAGCTGAGAAACACAGCAGAACCACCATCTAAAACACTCATTACTTACTCATTCTGTCTAACTCAAAGAGCTTTTAGTCGCATCTCCTGCTGCTTTTGGTGGGAAGGAACCTCCCAGTTTGCTTGAGGAAATAATTGCAACCTTCTTTCCAGTGTTTACACACCGGAGTACTGTGTCCTTCATGTCTGAAATGTTTCGCTGCTTGAACATGGCTGATTTAAATAAATGTGTTATTAGCAGCAGAAAAGGCGGAAGAGATTAAACTATTAGATTCAGACATGCTGAACGCTGCTCACAAAATAATTAAAGAGCTAGCTATGCTAACCCTGAAGCACTAATCATAAACATTAGTTCTGCTAACACTAAACCATTACACCAAGTATTTAGCAGAAGCTAATGCTAAAGCGCTAACTTTAATTGAAATTTGATCCCTCAAGTTCTATTTATAATTTATTCATTCTATGATGCTCCAAGATATTTAATTTTATTTAATTTATGTTATGTTCCTATGTTAAATAAAGTTATTGGGGAAAAATCTCAGAGAATGTGAGAAGAGGAAGCAGAGCTACTGTCTTCCTGCACTTCAAAATAAGAGCTCGAATGTAAAAAGATTGGTAGAAGATCGGTAAATTTTCCAGAAAAATTCACAAATATTGAACTGTAAATAAAATATTTGTGAAAATCTCATGTTTATCGTGAAAAACTGTCCAACTGTTTGAGCTAAGAGACGTGTTTATGCAAAAGAAGAAACTGACCAAGTAAGGTTTTTCTTTTTGATCTATTTCAGTAACTTGAATTGGACATTTGATCTCCTCCCGCTGATGTGTGAATGTGACTTGAATTTATTTTACTGAACAGGTCAAATAAATATGTCATCATCCTGATGGGTTTAGACTGTTTCTTCAGGCATAACTAGTTACACCGTCTTCAATTCAACGCTGTCAGATCAGAGCTTAAAATGTGGATTTTTTTCAGGAGTTGAATTCATGAGTTTGAATAAAGAAGAAGATCTGCTGTTAATTACGACAGGATGGCTGAGAGCCGTCAGCGGAAAAGGGATCAGAACTCATTAAAGCTTAAATACTCCAAAGCAACAATACGAGAAACTAAACGTGAAAAAAATGATTAAAGGAGAGTTAATTAAAATATGATAGGACGGCTTTTTTAGTAATATCAAACATAAAACAATATTTAACTGAGTTAAAGAAAAAATAGTCAAAGTAGAGGTTAAGAAATAAATAAAATAATGACTAGTAATGAGAAGCAATTAGCATGATGAGGATAGTCCAACTCATCAATATGTTTTTGGGATTTGAATTAAAATATTTCTATTAAATAACAACCCGAGAGATCTTAAGTGGTCAACTTGGACTTTTTAAATATTTAAATGTTTTTTAAACATTTTAAAATATTTTCTGATCACTGGATTCAAAATAAACGTTATTTGCTGCGCTGCATCACGACTGGAGAACATGTGGAGAGGAAACAGAACTGCTGCTTCAAAATAAGAGCTTGACACTTAACTGTCAATAACAAAACCTTAAACGCAGATGTTGAACTAGCGTAATGTAGGAGAAGCTAGCTGCGCTAAACATGATAAGCAGGGGCACAACTACATATTATTCAGGTGGATGCGAAAACATAAATCGCCCCCCCCCCTCCCCCCGAGACGAAGACACGTGAAAGGTAAAACTCGCTACTTGTGCACCCCACTGCTTTTAAAGCGTCAAATTCTTGACTTTTGACTGTTAGAAAACTATTAAAATGAAAACAACTTAGAACAGACTTAATTGTTTCTGTAGAATATACTGAGATAATTGGGATATGAACTTTTGGCATCTCTATGAGGGAACAAAAGACGTTAAACAGAAAATAAATCCTAGTCAGGCTCACGCATGAAGGGTGGGATATTTTTCCCTTGGTCATCATTTTCCCTAACAGTGGATTGTTGTGAAATTTAAGTGTTAAGCTCACAGAAGTGTTGACCCAGCCTTGCTGCTGCGTGGTGGCTAACAGGAGTGAACAGCAGGTCTGGGAGCCTGGGACTCTGCAGAGCCTGAACCCTGCAGCAACCCAACAGCAGCTGGGTCCAGTTCCTCTGGGAGCCTCGTCTCAATTAACACCCAGCTGTTTTCCTCAGCAGAGCAGGGATCAAGGCCTCTGTGGCCTCTTCTGCTACAACAGTCTGAAGAGTCAAGCCTCACACCGAGGAGCTGCAGCCTTTTTCACACTTCAGAGCCAAGGCTGCTGTGGCTCTGCAGTGCAGTGGTGTCAAGTGTGAAAGGAAAGAATGACGGGTCGGAGATTTTACCCGGATTCCCCGCAGATCAACCTCTGAACCGTCAACAGAGGAAGGAACCAAGTCAAACTGGTACCAACAGAGTATCTGCAGACCTCAGGAGATGTAAGACTTTTTAATGCCATTTACCTTAAATTTAAGACAAAAATAAATAAATGTAAGGGATGGTTGGGAGGACTTGCTGCATTACAATCAAGCATTGCAGAACCTGTAAACCTGGCATCAGGTGCCTGTAGAGCCTAGTTTTAAGTTTTTGCAACTCACATCGTATGGACAACAGAAGTGAGCCAGTGATGAAAACAAACGTCATACAGCTAGCTGCAGGGCCTGATGCTTCATTTAAATGTTTTTACTTAAACAGGGTATCAGGTCCAATTTAAGACTTTTTAAGACCCTCTGAAGGTCTTAAAACTATAAGAATTTAAGACCTATATCTCCATAGCAACGTATGAACTTCATCCAGCAACCGGCAAAAAATCTGCACTTTCCAATTATAGCCGCAAATGAGCTAGCTAGCTACTAGGGATGCATTAGCAACTATTGACAGCTAGTTAGTGGATCCACATAAATCAATCAATCAATCTGCAGGTGACTAAAAGTTTTGCCTGACAGAAAAGTCCCTCAAGAACCAAAACTACATTAAATAATCTGGCCACAGCATAATTTAAGACCTTTGATTCAGGTCTTTAAGACCAACTTACATGTTTTATTATGGATTTAAGGCATTTTAAGGCTGTGCGGACACCCTGACCAATGTGTGCTGAGCTAACGCTGCTCGCCAAGTCAGGTCTGCAGTGGTTTAACAATGATGTGCTTTTCTACGCCAATAAAGTTCAAGTAGTCTCTGAAAGGCCTTGTTTCATGTAATGATGTGGATGAAGTTGAGCATTAAATGGTGATGAACTACACTTCCTCCCCTGTGCAGAGTTTGCTGCAGTGAATCAGAGCCAAACTGTGATTGAAGCAGAACAATCCAAGGAGCTGAGACAGATGGGACGGCCTGGCGCGGCGCCACGGCGGGCCTCGGAGGTGAGACGCAGCACGCCTGCTGCAGGCGCCCAGGAGGGCCTGACCTAATTGACTGGCGAAATACAAATGTAAACCTGCATGCCAACATTTAAAGCTTTTTCATCTCGCAGACAAAAGAGAGCTGCAACGGATCTTTACCCTTTAAACTTTCACATTTTGTTTCGTTCCAACTGCAGACAAAAGTGTGATTTGCTAGGATTTTATGTAACAGAGCAACAGAAAGTCACCCGTGTTTTTAAACAAGTTTCTACAAGTAATATTCTGAGCTTAGCAGTGAGGCAACACGCAGCAGGCGACTGCGACCCAAATCCGATATTTTCTTTGCACGTATCCCGACTTTTTGAGGAAGTTTTCTCCCCAAAACAAAATCAGGGCGTTTTGTCTGTGGAACTAAATCAGATACGTATCTGATAGTTTTCAAAGCATCTGAAGGCTGAACGGTCATGTCGCGTTTTATCCGACTGTGGCGTTAATGCTGCTCCAGAAGAAGCCGAACGCGGTAAATCTAGACATGATCGATGGCTGACGCGAGCTTCCCTTCGTCTTATGATGATCTGGTGATGACTCTGTCGGCTCCTGTGGAGCAACGACTTTACAACTCATCCACAGACAGCGGCGGCCATTTTTACTTCCATGAACATAGAGCTGCAGTGTGACATCTACGTGGTTATTCTGCATGTGAGGGTCGTTCTGGGGCCATAAGGCCTGAAGTCTGACTGCAGTCACAACACAATCACACAGATGTCTGAATGGCCCAATTCTGAAACCTAAAATAAATCTGATCTGTGTCACTTCCTTAACGACCACGCAAAGAAAAAAGTACTTCAGAAAAAAAATCTGATTTTTTTCTCCCATAGTTGATTCTTTCATGGTAGTTTGAACGGCCAAAAATTTTTTTTTAAGTTTTTAACCAAAAAATAAAAATCAGATCTGGATTTATTACTGTTGGCTCTCACTGCTGAATAAACTCTAAAATCGATCCATAATGGCGGCGTCCATTACCTGTAAACATCGCGCTGCTGTGACGTCGCCGTGAACAGAAATCTGACTGTAGCTGCATTTAGTTAGAAATACCAACAACAACGTAAAAAATTATCACAATTCAGCAAAAAAATGAGATTGAGGGGAAGAAATCCAAATCCGGTTTCCTTCGCTCATATTCAGCTTTTACTCAGGAGTCTGAAAGGCCCGGTTCTGATCAAACCAATGTTGAGCCTCTTCCATGTGAATCTGACATGTATCTGATTATTTTCAAAGCTTTTTCTTTACGTCTTTCCATAGAATAGTAAAAGCACGCAGCGCTAACCCTTAGCTTTCCTTTCTGAGCGTCCATCGTCTCGTTTTGACCTTTGACCTGGTGACCTGGTGACGATGCTGCTGCTTTCTGGCACTCAGCAACTTTAAAATCCTTATTACTCCATTTCACTTCTGCTGCTGTTTGACGTTTTTCTGATTCTGACTTTAATTAGTAGAAGGACAAAATATGTCCCAAACGTTTCAAAAAGAAACTTTTCAACTTCGGGAAATGGGTCCGAAGTGATTTTATATTTGTAATAAAGCTCTGAAGTGAACTTCAAAGCAGGAAGGTTTTTTATTTAGTTGTTGCCTCTCTCTCTATTAGTGTCATCTTGACAGGATCAATAACGCAGCTACATCCAGAATCTGATGCCTTGCTGGTAATTTTTAGCCCAACCTGGAGATAAATGGCTGAGCGTTTTATCACTGATGTCATCTGAAAACAGAAAATCAGGCTGCAGCGAGCTGCGCTGCGAGAGGTTTGATTGACAGGTGAGCCCAGCAGGAGTTTGTCCTGAGGGCTGGATCTTTAATGTTGTCTCCCAGTCTGGATTGTTCTTTTTTTCGGCTGCTGAGAGGAGGGAATTGCAGATAAAAAGCCAGAGCTTTAGGGGAAGAAGTCTGCTCTGCATCTTTAAGCTGCATTTAAACATTTTTTGACAATATTTGTCAGAACAGAGGCTGGTGTTTGCCTTCAGTTCTCAGCCATCTTGGTTAAAATTCAAAGCCGTCTCCAATCAGACGTGGGTCAGCGTGCCGTTCCTCCATCCGCTGTGATTATCCAGTTACCCAAATGGATCCCGACAATCCGCCACCTAATCATTTGTCTCATTCTTGAGACGTGTTGCTGTGTGAACTGAATATCAGGTTGGAAGCCTGTCATTTTCCATTTCTAAATCAAACCCAGCATGACAGTGTGTGCACAGCCCACAGATCCTCCCATCAGCTTTTGTCCACAGTGAGAGGGAGCCGACGCTGCGGCCAGTGATGCAGGGTCACAAGCGACAAGACGAGAGCACTCGGCTTATTTTCTGCCTGTGCCTTTCCTTGCTCCACCGGAGGGCACGGCGGAGTCCTGCCGCTGTCTCCATCCATCATCTTACCTCATCTTTGATCATCCTTTATTCCTGTTTTGTCTGCTGTCCCCCACAGAGGTCTCTCACTGATCTTTTACCCTCTTTTGTTCTCTCTGTTTTCACCTTGTAGCCTGAAACTTCTCAGCAGTCGTCTGAAGGTTGAATAAAGGATTTAAATGCTTTACTCCAAAATAACTGCTTCCACTGGTTGGCATTAGCCCCCAAAAAGGTTAAATAAATGCACCTTTTATTGCAGCAGCATGAACTCAGAGCAGTCAGTTGGAGAATAGCTACACTGCAAAAACACAACGTCTCACTACCAGCTTTGGTCTCGTTTCTGGTGCAGAAATATTCACATATTTGATACAAGACACTTGCCTCTTTGGTACATTTTTAGTTGAATAAAGTCTGAAATGTTACGAATTCTTCAAGTAGTTAGGTGTTTACATTCATGCCCTTATTTTGAAGTGGACGCAGCTGTTCCATTTCCTGTTCACAGAATCTCCAACCATGACGTTTATTCTGTACCCATAATGCATTGCATAAATATCTTCTGTGCGCTTTCACATTAGCTCCTGATAAATACAGTGATAGTGCTTTAGCATTTGACCTGGTTCATGTTTGAATTTATTTCAGCCATGTTGTTTGATTGTAGTGACCTTTACCTGGAATAAATCAAACTTCAGAGGATATATGGATTGTATTTCATTTTTTATCTGATTTCCCTTTTAAAGATGCCTCTCGGTCAAATAAATGTGAACAAATTACACTTTCCATTCAGATCCATTCTTCCTCTGCTGCAGCTTAGAGGTTTCTGATAACCTGCCTGTATAGTGGAATATGGATACATGTTAGAAAGCACTTAAAATAACCCCCAATTTGAGGCTCATAGCGACTGGAGCTCAGCCTGATCAAAGAACATCAGTCCCACTGATTGTTGGTTACAGCAGCTAACAAAGCCTCTTTGTGCTCCTCAAGCAATCCTGCAGCTACTGAAGTGTGCAGAGCTGAAATAATTCAACAATGAGCTGAATGTCTCCTTTCAACAGAGTTCGGTCTGATTCTGCAAAAACGCTGCCTAACTGGACTGAACACTGGTACAACCAGGTTATGTTAATTTCATTTCATGATAAAGAATGTTTTATGTGTTTATTCATTTAGAAGTATATGGAAGAAAATAAAATATAGATTAGAAGAAGAGAGATACCCTTTGTTGTCCTACAGTGAGGACAATAAAGGATGTGAAATATATGAAAGCAGAATAAAGAATAAAGCCGTTTTCGCACTGCAAGGAACGGACCGGCTCGCTTCGGTCCGGTTCCACCCGAACTGCAGCCCTGTTTGTGTTTGCATATAACTGAGGGCGGCATCGAAGCTGAACCTGACGTCATTATTTTTGAAACTAAACAATAGTTTCGATGTAGCGGCTGAAACCTTTTCCTCAGAGATGCGGCGGAAAACTTTCTCTTTCCTCGTTGACCGACCTAGTTCGATCTGTGCTCGTTCATCAGGGAGTAAACAGAGGAAAAATACGTCATCATGGGACCAGGAAACAGCAGAACACTGAGGGGAATTCATCACAAATTAAAAATAATAAAAGTATCAAAAAGAGCACTCTTTACAAAATACA